GCCAGCTTTGCCCACCACACAGTGTCCTGCTCCTGCAGCTCTCCTGGAGCTGCCGTAACCTGGGCCCTTTGGGCACTGCCTTAACTTTGGCAGTCAAAGCTCTGCATCTGGGTCCCAATGGGGGATTTATCTGAATAGTTCTTCGCTCTGAACAGCAACAGATCATCTTGGATAAACTTGCTGAGAGATTAAAATAACTCATTGACAGAGCTGCATCTGCCTGTGAAATGTTCTGTGGGAGAGCAAGATTCCAGTTGGAGTCATCAGTCTTGACGTCTTGACAGCAGCAAACACTTGAGTCCAGAGCAGGGTTCAATTCTGCCTCCAGAGCCAACTGGGAGGTCCGGAGGTTTGGGAGATTTGGGACTTGGGCTCTTCTCTCAAGTGAATAATGACAGGACCCGAGGAAATGGCCTGAAGCTGCACCAGGAGAGGTTTGGATATTAGAAAGAATTTCTTTACCCAGAGAGTGGTTGGACACTGGAACAGGCTGCCCAGGGAGGTGGTGGAGTCACCATCCCTGGAAGTGTTGAAAATAAACACAGATGTGGTGCTGAGGGACATGAGTTAAGCACTGAAGGGGTGGATCATGTTGTGGTTGGTGGATTTAGGTTGTGGTTGGACTTGATGATCTTCAGGGTCCCTTCCAAGCAGGATGATTCTGTGATTCTGTGACAGCCTGGAGATGGATCCAGGGAGGGAGCCTTGGCATGACAGAGCCTGGCTCATCACCCTCCTACCCAGAGCTCTGACATCATCTTAAAATATCAACACTGATTTTAACTGCTAGTTTGTTGCCTTCAACAGGCAGCAACACCCTCTCTAGCCCAGGGGAATGTTTGTGGAAACCTCTGGGACACTAACATGGTGGGCCAGAGGGGTCAGCACTGCAGGCCAGGGATGTACGTACCTGAGTGCAAGATAAAGAAACGAGATTGAAATTAGATTGGATCCCAAATCTGTTGTGGGCAGTTCAGAACAGTGCAAGGATTCAGGAGGATTTGGGAGCTGCCACTCATGTGGCAGCTTAGTGGAGTTTCTCCAATTGTGTCCCTTCTTCAGCAGAAGCCACCACACCAGGGAAACATCTTGGAAAAGCAGTTGTTAAATATTGGAAATCACCCCTCGGCCCTGAGGAGGTGACTGGTTCACCTGCAGGAGCCTGGTGCAGCTGCACCCCCAGCAGTGGCTGAATTATTCTCTTTTGGGTGGATTCTTGCTGCTCTGAGCTTCCAAATCTCTGCTGTGAGGCCTTGAAGGAATCTTCTGCAGAAAAAAGGTGCTGGACGCACATCCTCTGAGTCTGTAGGGAATTGGTGACTTGAGGAGACAGTGAGTCTGGAGCTGCCAGGCTCCCCATTCACGGGGGGAAATGGTGTTGCACCAGGTGGGGGGGAGAGAATGGAAAGGAAACCTCCCCAGACCCAGTGTGAAGGTCATGTCAGTTCCTCTTCAGACCTGGGAGCAAAGGGGACGCCAGAGCCCCCGCTCGGGCCTCCAGCACAACGTGTCTGCCCGGGTGACAGGACTGCACCTCGGGGGGCTCCGGGCAGGGGGCTCTGAACTGGGCCATTGCCTCCGCCAGGGCATGACCCACAGCTCTGCCCCACAGCTCTGCCCCACAGCTCTGCCCCACAGCTCTGCCCCACAGCCAGCCCATCCCCGGACAGCGCACACCGTGGAGCCACCAGCTGTGCTCTCAGCCTTCTGCCTGCCCACGATCTGCTCCTGCCAAACCTCCGGCTTCCGGCAGACACAACATCCGCATCCTGAGTCCCGGGTGGAGGTGCTGGGCAGGCACCAGGCGGGGATCCAACCCCCGGGCTCGCCCCACTGACCTCCCTGTGAACCTGCTGGCTGGGAGTGAGAGCTGAGGAGCCTCGAGGCTCAGAGCTGCACCACAGCACCAGTGCCCCCAGTTCATGCCTCCATCGTCATGAAGTGCTCTGCCTTTATCTGCCTAAATAGAGACAGCAGCTAAAGGGATGTTTCTGTAAAAAAAGCTTGAGAATTGAAAAGCAAAATAGCTTGAGAAGTGAAAACAAGCGTATGGTTTGGCTTCAGGGCTTCTAGGTTTTCCTTAGTCCTTTTGAGTGAAAACAGCAATATTCTTATGCTTGACAGATTATCTAAGCCAGCAGCAAGGACAAGTATATGGCAATAGGAGCTGGCGATGCACAGACCCCACTTCCTGAACAGGACTCCCTCTTCCATCAGGTTTCCTGCAGTTTCCCATTCCTGGGCTGTGGGCCCAGCCCAGCAAGCCCTGCTCGGGCAGCCCCCCAGCCCGGGCAGCCCCCCAGCTCGGGCAGGGCAGGCCCAGCAGGGGGCTGGGCTGGGGGAGCTGAGGCAGCCCCGCTGCCCCGGCTGGGCGGCAGGACCCAGCACTGACCGGCCCCGAGGGGGCGGCCTAGAGGTGACAGGGCCTGAGGGGCGGCA